TAGTCCAGCTGGTCTAAGTTATCTTCATTCCCTCCACTCGCTGAATGTCGTGGGTCATTTGTTGCTGTACAGTCAGGGACGGGACGTCATTGGAGCTGTTCTACAGAAAATTAATAATAATGGTAAGAAGAAAGGTACTATTGTGTGTTTCACTGTTACAGACTTTCCACATTTGGTCTATAGGTCTCCATTTTTCAGCTTTTGTAGTTTCCTAAAATTTATTTCTAGATCATATACCTGTACGACGTACTTTTATTTTTTAGGTATTAATAATGTCAGCTCGTTAATCCAGCACTTGATTGAACTGTTATTAAATTGGCCACAGAGCAACCTCAAAAAGATGTATGTGCATGTACATGTACATGTAGTTGGGAATGTTTGCTGGGAATTTATTTAATTTTTAAGTTTGCAGCTAATGCCTACAACTAGCAAATTAAATACATTAATGTTGCATTAAATTGTATTATTACAAATATTATTTCTGGCTATACATGTACATGTACATGTACATTTACTGAATTAAATTTTTTTTGTATTTATTATTATTTTTGTTAGGTCGTGTGACAGTCATGTGAGTCTCGACCCTACTGTTGTGTTGCGGAATTTGTTTGGCGAGTTAGCGTCAAGGAACAACCTCTGCTCTAGTCTACTGTGTCAGGTACAGAGAGAGAGAGAGAGAGAGGGAGACAGTGATAATATTATTATTCTTTACAACAGGATAATGTGATGGATGTCATATTGTCACATTTGAACAGCTCTACTAAAAGTAAAGTAAGAATTGACACATTAAGTATATATTCATCATAAATATATGTGGTATAAGTTAATGCTATATGCAAGTACAAGTACATGATGGGAATGAGTTGTTCATGTACATGTACACGTGTGTTGCATGTGATTGTATGTATAAATTAACATGTACCGTATGTTAATTTATGTATACATTTCAGGTTGTTAATGTCTCGCTGGTTGATATTATTAATAATTCATTGGCTGTTCTTGCTTCCACTGATAACGGGAAATGTTACCTATTGAAGGCATCACCTAAAAGAAAGTACAGTGATATATTTATCAATTATTAGTAGTACCCCTCCCTCTCTCCCCTCCCTTTCCCCCCTCCCTCTCTCTCTCCCCAGGGAATCAGTTGCTGATACAATAGCTCAATTTGTTGTCAAGTCTCTACAAAGTGGTCACGCTCACAACTCCTCAAACTCACAGCTGGTGTATTCCTGTTTGCTCGTCTGTCGTCAGTTGTACTCCACTTGCGACGGAGTCCTCTCCTTGTTACCTTATGATCTTCATCTACACATTGTGAAGGCTATACAGAGTGTAGGCGTGGCTGGAGGTGTGGCTAATAGCGATGATACATTGAAGACAAAGTTGATTGATAATTTATTAAATTTTGCTGGAACGCCAAAGGTAGAGCAGACATGTGTAACTACACTGTACATGTAGTACTTATGATTTTCTCTTCTTTTTCCCTCTTTCTCCCTCTCTCTCTCTCTATTCCAATTTATTCATGTACATGTAAATCCATGTTAATCTAAAAAACATGTTTCATTTAATTCTTCCGCTAGGGTATTGAACTGTTGGAAGGTTCCGGTTTAATTGGCGAATGTATTAATCACATGAGACGCAGATACCAGCTGAAATTACAAGTAATTATTATCTGGTTATTAAGTCTAGTTATTAATGTAGTTATTAAGTCTATAGTTATTAATTATATTTTAGGTGAGCCAGTGTGAGAAGTTTGGTTATGGTTACATGGTGTCAGAAGTAGCATCTACCTCAACTGGAATAACCCATTTAATTAACAGTGGTAATTGCAGGGGCAAAACCCCTATAATAATGTATTAAAAGTAGGGTATGTGTATAATATGTATTATCAATAAATAAAAAACATTAAAAATGGAAAAGTAGTAGGATTAAATTGTAAAAAAGTAAAGAAACAAGAGGGGACTTGCAAACTGGTGTGA